AAACAGGGTTGCCATCTGGGGCTGGGTAAGTTTAATTACCAGAAACCGTTGTTCTGATATCATGAATCTGACAAACTTCACTTTGACAGTTGTCAAAACTGTCAAAACAGTTGATTGCAAAGTGGTTGTTTTATCCGTCTTTAAAATAATGACACTCACTTTTATATTTTGTTATTTGATGCAAAGATATTCATGCATTTTAAGTACAAATACAATTTTTTGGGTCACTGTATAAGTAACCGTGTGTTTGTGATGCAGTCTTACGGCGGTTACGTCACTTCCATGGTTCTGGGAGCCGGAAGTGGAGTCTTTAAATGCGGAATGGCCGTCGCTCCCGTCTCTAAATGGGAGTATTATGGTATGTATTATGTATAATCGTAATCCATTACTGATTTCAAATTACATTATGAAAACTGTAGTTAGTAACATAATCTGGATTACAGATATTAGGTAATGTAGTCTATAGTACGTTTTCATTACTTTTAGATTAGATTTTGATTTAGCTCATTTGTCACGTAGACACGAATGTAATTGTGTACCATACTGATTAAAACAAACAAAGAAAATGTATTTCATTCTGTTATCAATATTATGAAATCAATACATTCGGAAAAATGTAATGCCATTGAGTGAATATATAATCATGAATTCCATAAAAACGTAACTGTAATCTAGCATTTTCAAATGAAAGATAATCTAATTACAAGTACTTCGTTTTTGGAATCTTCACTTTGACAGTTGTCAAAACTGTCAAAACAGTTGATTGCAAAGTGGTTGTTTTATCCGTCTTTAAAATAATGACACTCACTTTTATATTTTGTTATTTGATGCAAAGATATTCATGCATTTTAAGTACAAATACAATTTTTTGGGTCACTGTATAAGTAACCGTGTGTTTGTGATGCAGTCTTACGGCGGTTACGTCACTTCCATGGTTCTGGGAGCCGGAAGTGGAGTCTTTAAATGCGGAATGGCCGTCGCTCCCGTCTCTAAATGGGAGTATTATGGTATGTATTATGTATAATCGTAATCCATTACTGATTTCAAATTACATTATGAAAACTGTAGTTAGTAACATAATCTGGATTACAGATATTAGGTAATGTAGTCTATAGTACGTTTTCATTACTTTTAGATTAGATTTTGATTTAGCTCTTTTGTCACGTAGACACGAATGTAATTGTGTACCATACTGATTAAAACAAAGAAAATGTATTTCATTCTGTTATCAATATTATGAAATCAATACATTCGGAAAAATGTAATGCCATTGAGTGAATATATAATCATGAATTCCATAAAAACGTAACTGTAATCTAGCATTTTCAAATGAAAGATAATCTAATTACAAGTACTTCGTTTTTGGAATCTGATTATGTGAACCAGATTACATGTAATCAGTTACTACGTAGTACTGATTATGGTTTTATATTTCATTTTCCCCTCATTGAAGTTCATTCCTGTCATGTGATAAGACTGTTCTGTAATTTCCTCCAGACTCTATTTACACTGAGAGGTACATGCTGACGCCAGCGGAGAACCAGGCCTTTTACGATGTAAGTTGCGTTTGGAAATTCTAAACTTTTTTTCGATAAACTCATTGGTTTCCCCATGATGACGTCACAGAGAAGCATGAGTCAGTCCTGAAATAACTCATGAGAGGAAAGCGCAAGCAACACTCAGGGTTTATGGGATGTTATGATTCTTGCAGAATTCCACAGTGACGGGAAGAGCCAAGAACTTTAAATCGGTCCAGTACCTCCTGGTGCACGGCACCGCTGACGGTGAGATACGACCTGTCTCTCTCTATCTCTGTCCCTCGTCCTGTCTCTGCATAACATGAAGAAATGAAAATAAATTCATATGAAAATAAAAAATAAAAATGAGCTGCATTCTTGTTTAATGTTTTTCTTTTGTCATTTTTAAAAATATGTATATTTTCTGAAATTTATATTCATTTATCACTGAAATTTTTATATGCAGCCCTTATATATTATTTACATGTTCAATTACTGTAAATATCATAACAAATATATTTTAAGTCATTTTAGTTATTATACTTATACCGAATATTTCCTAAAAACTGCAGAAATATATTTCCTTGGTATTTTGAGTTGTAGATCAGTAAAAAAAAAAAAAAGTATTTATTTAAAATTCCTAAACATATAAATATCTTTAAAATAACTCAAATTACTTGACTTAAAATGAAAACTCATCACGTCTTTTTTTTCTGCTTTTCGTTGGTGTTTTTAGATAATGTTCACTTCCAACAAGCTGCTCAGATCTCTAAAGCGCTCGTGGATGAACAAGTGGACTTTGATACAATGGTAAGAAAGGAGCAGAATTGCATTTTAGTCATGCAAATTTATTTGAATAAATTATAATATAATGAATATAGTAATAAAAATATAATAATATTATTTTATATTAATTGAAATATATAGAATTATGCTTAAATTAAATTATTTATACATTTGTATAATAAATATAAATATTATATATATATATAGTACTAAAATATTACATATAAAAAGGTTTCTTAATTTATTTTTACATTTATTTGTAAATTTATATATATAAATAAACAATTAATAAAATTAATAAAATAATTAGCATAATTAGAGTTTTTTTGCATGTCACATTGGTAGACGTGAATTCTTCATGTCGACAATCCATAAAGCAGCTCCAAAAAGTATTAAAGTAGATATATGGTGAATATTTGAAGTGTTTTTCACTCGTGACCTGTTCTGTCTCTCTGTCAGTGGTACACTGATGAAGACCACGGTCTCGGCGGCTCGGCCAATCGGCACGTCTACACTCACATGAGTCACTTTTTTAAAAACTGCTTTGCTTGAACTTGTGAAACTTTCCATTGGACCAAAAAAGCCCACCCAGAAGCCCCCAGCACTGAATCCACATTACTTCCAGACCACTTCATGCACTTAAACACGTCAGGAGTGTGCGACTCCCCATCAGCAGCCACTGAATCCACAAGAACCCTGTAGCTACTGTACTGTGATGCTATAACGGACTCCTTTAGTCACGTTTATCAGTTTCAAATGTACAGTCTGAACAACTGAGTCATGAGTCTTTAGTACACCGAAAAAAAACATAGAAATACTTACTGGATGAACACAAAGCTTGATGAGCTAGCTAAAGAAAACTGAGAGTAAAAATAAAATAAAATAAAATAGGTATTTGAATTAAATACTCTCAGATTTAATTATTATTATTTATTATTATTATTAATTACCTTTTAAGCTGGGGAGAGCAATATTGTGTATTTTCCATATCAGGTTCATTGCCAGCTGTACATTTTCATGTATAGTACAAAAATAATGTTAATGTTTAATATAATTTTATATTTTAATTATCAAATATATTAAATATAAAATAATGCATTACAATATTTTCACACTTTAAATAATCAAGCTTTGAGTATCAAGTCATCTTTTAAGAAAATATTTATTGTGTGTGCCATTACTTTTAAAATATACGCCATCATTTTTATGATATAGCAGAGATATTTTCAATCTGTAATAAAATTCAACAAAAATGTGTTTAATTGTTTGTGACTTATTTACGCTTTACACATATTAAATAACATTGTTTTCAAGTTCAAGTTCAAGAAGTACGAAATAATTTCAGAATTCATTCATTCTTACAAGCCAAGCCTCTTGTCTGTTAAAATATTTGAAATCATTAAAAAATATTATATTTGCAGTTAAAGTAGAGATTTTACTGTTGTCCTGATTTTATTAAAAAACAACTTTATTAATAGCATTTTTAAAACATTTAAATTTGAAGTTTCAGTTTAAGTTGATTACTGATGCACAACAAATTGTACAGTTTTCAACTAAATTAATTTCTTGTTGATTAAACCAACAAATATATGAAAACTTGATATGCTAGTAATCAAATTCTAGCACCTCAAAATGCATTCTGGGATTTTTTTTATATATGAAGAAACTTTGTCCACCACTTTTGTTTACACAAAGTTGTCACTGACATATTCATATTGCATTGCAATGATTTTTGTTAATCAAATCACACTTATTTGGACTGCAAAGCATCCTGGGTTGGACACAAGAATCATGTGTACTAAAACTAAAAAACACATGAAAAGTCCGTTAAAAAGTATTAAAGTAGATATATGGTGAATATTTGAAGTGTTTTTCACTCGTGACCTGTTCTGTCTCTCTGTCAGTGGTACACTGATGAAGACCACGGTCTCGGCGGCTCGGCCAATCGGCACGTCTACACTCACATGAGTCACTTTCTGAAAAACTGCTTTGCTTGAACTTGTGAAACTTTCCATTGGACCAAAAAAGCCCACCCAGAAGCCCCCAGCACTGAATCCACATTACTTCCAGACCACTTCATGCACTTAAACACGTCAGGAGTGTGCGACTCCCCATCAGCAGCCACTGAATCCACAAGAACCCTGTAGCTACTGTACTGTGATGCTATAACGGACTCCTTTAGTCACGTTTATCAGTTTCAAATGTACAGTCTGAACAACTGAGTCATGAGTCTTTAGTACACCGAAAAAAAACATAGAAATACTTACTGGATGAACACAAAGCTTGATGAGCTAGCTAAAGAAAACTGAGAGTAAAAATAAAATAAAATAAAATAGGTATTTGAATTAAATACTCTCAGATTTAATTATTATTATTTATTATTATTATTAATTACCTTTTAAGCTGGGGAGAGCAATATTGTGTATTTTCCATATCAGGTTCATTGCCAGCTGTACATTTTCATGTATAGTACAAAAATAATGTTAATGTTTAATATAATTTTATATTTTAATTATCAAATATATTAAATATAAAATAATGCATTACAATATTTTCACACTTTAAATAATCAAGCTTTGAGTATCAAGTCATCTTTTAAGAAAATATTTATTGTGTGTGCCATTACTTTTAAAATATACGCCATCATTTTTATGATATAGCAGAGATATTTTCAATCTGTAATAAAATTCAACAAAAATGTGTTTAATTGTTTGTGACTTATTTACGCTTTACACATATTAAATAACATTGTTTTCAAGTTCAAGTTCAAGAAGTACGAAATAATTTCAGAATTCATTCATTCTTACAAGCCAAGCCTCTTGTCTGTTATTCTGAGGGAACTTTCTCCAATGACTACAGCAAATACTTGGAGACCAGGAGAGCGCAAGACTTTGTTCAGTGGCTCATGAACTCGAAGAGAAACGGGTATGTACAATTACAGTGCGAGGTCATGTACAGAATTGTTACAAAATGTAAAAATTATCCAACATTTGGTGTAAAAGGGAAAAAAATTATTTACAGTTTTTTTTTAGAATGTATCAAATAAAATAAGAATAAAACAAACTAAATATATAACATGTACTGTATATACTTTCTAAAAAAAAAAAATATATATATATATATATATATATATATGAATTTGCATTAGGAATCTTAAAATATATATATAAATATATATAAAATAATCTGTGTAGTATATTTGTATGTAATGTATATTGTACTTCTATGTATTTATTTATATATAATATAAAAATAAAACAATATATGATAATTATATAAGTAAAATAATAATTATAATATATGTATAGCACCCACACATATATGAATATACTGAATATGAAAACCTTATGTAAAAACAATATATACAATATTATATTTATTAATATTTATATTATAAAAACTGTAATATAATACTATATATGTATGTTATGCATATTACATAGATTGTTTTATAATATTTTATTTATATGATCAAAAGTAAACAACATAATGTGATAATTATGTAATATAATAATTATAAGAATGTTATATTGTATTTTATGATTTTATAATACTTTTATATTTAGAATTGTTTTGTATAAAAATACAATTTACATATTATGATATTTAATATGTATTATGATATTTATAAATATGTATATAATATTAATTTTTATACAACAGTTCGTTCTGGTTCTCAAATCTGATTGGTTGAGAACCGTGAGATATTGTACTGGTATCGCTACAGGAACGCCCTTTCACAATTTTGTATCACTCCGCTTGTTCTAGTCGGGTCTATGTTTTTTTTTATTATTCACTGAGCTAATCGTAGAGTATGTTAGTTAATATAAGAAGAAACGTCTAGCCGCATTGTTTCTCTCTAATAACCTCATTTTTTCTCACTAATAACCTAACTGAAGCAGCACATGCCCTTGATACGAATTCTAAAAGTGACGTATGTTTAACTGTCAACTTGAGCTTTGAATCCGGAAGTAGTTCTGCACAAAAAAGGGTTTTATTAGGCACTCCCGTTATTTCTTGTTTAATTACACACATGTTCCGTCGAACTGTTGTATAAGCGATATTGCTTATATATTTAATTGTATAATAATAACAACAATAATAATAATAATAGATTTAAAAACGATATATATTATCGTATTTTATTTGAAAGCCTAACACTTACAGACAGTAGCTCAAATTCAAACATTAAATCAATTAATAATAATATATTTAAGAACTATATGTATATATACATACAGACACACACA